TATGTATTAAGCTAATTTCCACGATACATGTAAATAACTCGTTTACAGATTCGTACATATGCGCACTCCAAGAGGGGAAACTAGCAGTCTTCCAATCGTTCGTACGATGAGGCTTAAGAGAAGTGTAACAACTAAAAAAATTCTTTATTGAAATCCTGGTTTGCGCTCCTATTGAACAAGCACTTTCGCTTATCCATATAGTGCTCCTATTTTATACATCTGCTCTTTTCCTGGACTAAACTCTGATGGATGAGTTTGAGCTAGATCTTGACTGTGACGGGCGTTTGGGTTCTTGACTTGTAGCCGCACCAGAAGTGCCAAATCAATCAGGAAAGCAATAGCCACGACAAAGCATGTTATCTTAACGAAATATTCAAATCGGGTCGAAAAATCTGATTCACTGTTGCAGATTACGTACCGTACCCAGATACCACGCTGTGTATTCCCATCGGAGGCTGCTGTACGTCATTGTTATGCTGTTAATCGCGAAGAGAAATCCGAAAGCGCCCGCATACAGAGATTCCTAAAAAGCAAAATCTATTCCCTGCAATGTTATTCTCCCATTCCAAAAAAACCTTCAAAACAAATTTTTGTACTTTTGTGCTTGCAACTAGCACTCACCCAAAGTATCCAATCGATGTTAGTAGTGATAGTGTGTAGGTTGAATGCAAAAATGATAACCAAAGCCGGACCAATAATAGTAGCTGCTGTAGCAGTTGTTAGTGCAGCGTATGTTGGCGAAAAGTGAGATCCCACACTTGCAAGAAGAGTAAGTGTGCATACAGAACCAATCTAAAGAAGTTTGCTGAAACTTCTTGCTATCACAGGTACTTGCATTATCCATAACAAACATGAATTCAAGCACAGGAAAAAGTATGAAGAAACACAACTTAAAGTTGGAAAAAAACTAGTACTTTCATTTTTTTTGAATGCTTATGTTGTTTAACAAACAATCCTTCTTCTCTCCTTCGGAGAGATTCGCACTAGCATTGTGGCAGCTCGCTAAGTAAGAAACTTGCCGAAAAGTGACAGCTAATTAACGTATCTACTCACCCGTTACTGTTCCGATAAACCCAAACTTTAGTATTTACAGAGAACACTGCCGATATTTGTTTTCATTTGCTTAATATAGAGGTAATAGGTTTGGGTTACGGTATACGTTTTATGATAAATGATTTGGTTCTCCTCATATCTAGATATGATCAAATTGGAAGAAAATCAGTTTTATAAGAATATCTCCTTTCTTTATGATAGAAGAAGAGGGTGCAAGCCAACATCTTCAATCGATACTTCGTCGATTCACGTCGTTTTTGCAAACATGGGCTCTGTTAATCACAGAAATCCCGCAAATTAGTCGTAAAAGACCAATATCTACTAAGTAAATGGCAATATTAGAGACCAGGAAGCATTTGCCAACGAGTAAAACTAGTTCCAGACTTAGTATGAAATTTGCTGGTGTGAATGTACAAGCAAAGTTTTTGCAGCTTTTTCTATGGGGAGGGGAGCAGCGAATAGTAAGAAATGTTGCTTACAAATCCATCTGACCCCATAGGATTAAACTTGATCCTGTCCATCTTTGATGCCGTTGTGATCGATTATGAAGCACAATAAAACAAAGAAAGTATTTTTACAGATCATTATTATTTTTTTGTGTTCTTATATTTATGGAAGTTACTATTGGCAAAGGTTCAACGATCGTTTCAGTAGATTTCCTCAGACCATAACATTCGGATTTTTTGCTTTTTTACATGATCACTGAATTGATTGCAGATGATTCACAACTAACTTGCAATTTTACTCTTTACTATTTATAGGTATTTCGACGGAAGAGAAAGATACGGTAGAAAACCATTGTTTGAACTGGACAGAGTATTTTGCTTATTTCGACTCTATCAAGTTCAAGTTGGTAGTATTATTGCAACGGCAATACTCCGTTTGAAAACAGCGTTGACGTGGTTAGAGGCTAAATGTGATCTTACTAGCGCATCTACTCTGCACAAGTTGGGATATTCCACGCAGGTAATTGACAAGACTGAGCACTTTATGATAGGTCGTGACTATGCTCCCTGTCCTACTATTTCACTTCTGCTTCAATCTCTCAAATGGGTTTGGTGAAACGGCAAGTAGTAAATCTTTTGATGCGATAAATTGAAGACAATTCTCTTCAGTTAAAGTGGGGTATGAAAATGCCTCTGGTTAGAAATATCGCAAGTTTGTCATGCAATGTATCACCTTGATATCGACTACTTAGTTGGCTTTCGATGCCATCTCATTTTGTTCGTAGGTAGATATGTAGTTATAGATATACCAAAATCTTAATCATTTTGCTTCACTGACTACTCATTTTACAATGTATACCGATAATTCGATTTAATTTAACTCCCAAACCCATCTCTAGGATGTGCGCAATAATTATGTGGAAGGAAAACAAGTATTTCGGATGAAAGTGGTGTTTGATTTCAGTATGCGTTTTAGCTACGGCAAGTGTACATCATCATTTGAAGAAGATGATGATGTTTAAGCACAATCTGAAGAGACGACCAAAGATTCAGATCTTTGCCAACCTTTTAGAAAACAAGTTCTTCATGTAAGGAGTGTTAATTAAAAATAATGCATGTACACAGTTTGACTTTCTCGTTCTGAATACTAAATCTCAAGATTCATTCATATTTGCCAGCTGACAAAAGTTCAAATTCCTTTTGCAACCATTCAAGGCTGTTCTAGATTTCAACACGTAATTGCTCGCATTTTGTTCCCTCCAGTTATGATTGTTTTATGAGGGCTTAATATAGATGCCTTCACCAGCAACATATCTCCTAAGGAAAGTTGTCTTCTTTTGAAATTTTGGCAAATACTAGTGATACTTAATCAGCAATTCGCCTGAATACGTAGCTACTGATCGGATCTTACGCAGGGCAAACATCTGTATGAAAGGCGTTCCCTCCACTCAACCCCAATCTACTCCTCTCCTTGCACTTTCTCCTCTGCCCCCTTTCCCTTTTCCATCGCAAAAATAAACAGAAGAACGTTAATATACGCAAATAGACTTGATTTCGAGACATTTCTTACTCGTTAAAAGTGTAATGAAACACAGGTTGGTCCGAAAGTCTTGCATCAAATTTCGCGCATTTTCCAAATAATAACATTATCGTGCATAGTCAACCAGCAAAATATCACCATCATCAACGATATACGTCCAACGCTTCACCAGATTTCACCAAAAGTCCACATCTCTGGCGGCTGCGAGTCGAAGAATGTCGCATTTTCCAGTTCGGTCAGACCAGCAGTTTTTTCTCTCATAGGTGCTACTTCAGTCCTCGAAACAAAAGGTCGTCAAAGAGGCACGAACAAGCAGATTGCGCCTTTGATTTCCCAATTTCGGCAATTTTCGAAGAAATGCAAAATCGCA